TTATTCATGTTTATATCATTTTCTTCAATTGATATGCGATACTGGGTGTTTTTTCCTATAAACCTCTTGCAAATAGCCATTTCGCACCTACTTAATGACAGGCTCTATCAAAAGATATTGTTCGTTTCCAAACATTCATTCATTTACTTGCCGTTGATCAGAACCACTATGGCACCTTAGATTGACATTCCCACAAAGCCATTCAGGTTTTTTGATATCCATACATACTTTTCGTTGTTCAGGAACTGAACAAACATCCACACTATATTCACAGCGATTAAGAAATTCCCATATATATGCCTTAAAGCTACCAGCAAACCTATAAAACCTGCAAAAAAAACTACAAATTTGCCATATTTTTCTTTTTTCACGAGTACACATTCTAGGTTATATTTATATTAGACATTATTTGAATACAGCTGATTATTGCATTTCAAGGAGTGACACATGTGTGGGATCTGTCAACTCTTGGTGCCAGTCACAAAACATACTCTGAAAGTTTAATTCCATGCTATTGCACATGGTACACGATTGTCGTCTACAGAAACCTCTGCGGGGGGTCGCGACGTTTTTTGGTACAATAAATAGCCTGCGTTTTCGAATCATTAATTCTAATCAGCCATCGTTCCGCCCACTCTAGTACTTCTTCCACTGCACTCTGCAACCCATCGTGAACCAGATCACCAGCACACGACTGGGCGACAAGTGCAGTGTCATCAGCATAGAGGTAGACTTCACAGTTGCTGGGGCAAGGGACATCATGGATAAAAAGCAAATAAACGATTGGTCCTAGGACCGAACACTGAGGAACACCGGCCCGTACTGGCTATGTTGTTGACAGAACATTGTTAATTTTGATCCGAAACCTCCTTCCTTCAAGAAAGGATTTGAGTAATTTTAGAAGCCAAAAAGGGAAACCCTTTTGGATTAGTTTATAGTGGCCCGCGTGCCACACCTTTTCAAAGGCTTTGGAGACGTCCAAAACCAAGATGCCAGAAATCATGCTCAGCTCGGTGCTATGCTTGGACCGAAAACCGAATTGAACGTCAGGAATCACGTGGTGATTTGACGAAAAATCCTCAAGATGGCGATAAATCACCCTTTCGGCGAGCTCAGAAGGAGCTGACAGCAGACTAATGGGACAGTAATTCTGAGGAAATATCGAACCCACCGTCTTTGGAATCATGATAATCTCAGCAGCCTTCCACCCCTCAGGGACGTGCTGGTTTCTGAGCATCGCATTGATTATTGTCACCAAATATGTCAGAGCTTTCGACGAGAGCACCTTTAGCGCCTTGTTAGTGATTTGATCCTCCCCAGGTGCTTTACGTACCTTGAGGTCTTTAATAAGCTCCTCTGGAGGGCAATGTGGAACCACGGAGGGTTCCTCTAATGTGCTATGCGACGCTTCAGATGATTCTTCTGAAGAAGAGTAATCTGAAGAGGACATAGTGCCTCCGCTAACGCCGTTGTCCCTAAAATATCTCCTGACGGATCTCACAGTGTGTTGTTCCTCATCGAGGTCATTATCAAGATCATAGTTGAGAGAGAACTGTTTTTCCATGGCGTCAGCGAAAACCTCGACCTTATCATCTGTTCTGAAGGCTATGCCGTCAGGACCGTGGATGTGCGGGAGTTGTTCTCGCTTTCCGTTTTTGAGTGACTTTGCGACCCTCCAGAGAGGAATACTTGAATCAAGCATTCCCGCCAGGAAGTTGCTCCATTGCTCATTACGGAATTCATGGAGCGCATTTCTCACTTCATGGATAAGGTTCGTAGCCATACGAATGTCATCAGGATGGCAAGATCTTTTTGACTGCTTAATAGCGGCTCTCTTGTCAGAGATTTTCTGAATGTCCTCAGGCAAAAAAGGTCTGCCGCGTAGTTGTACAGGAAGTACAGCTGCACGCTGTAGAGCTGTTTGAATGAAACTTGTCCACTCCGCCTGAGCGGCATCTATTCCAGTCTCATCATCTATGATCGGGATATTGGGAAACTCTTTAAGGAACAACTTGTATAGCTCCCAATCAATACGTTTTCTTGGAGCAGCTTCCTCCTCAGAAGTTTGCTCGTTGCCTGCAACCAAGACAACAGGTAGATGATCACTAGAGATATCATACAAGCTTCGAAAGACTGAGGCCCATTTTCACCAACAACAGTCCGATATTCTCCACCTATACGGTCACAGACCGTCAAATACAACGAATGAGCTTCAAGTTCCAATCGACAAATTTTAGCAACCAATAGCTATGAAATGTTGAAAACAAAATACTGTCAAAGTATGAGATGACAGCTTGGCATTGAAACATCACCAGCTTATTGAATATTAAGAAATTACATATAATTCAGTCAAAATTTAAAGAAATGTTGGATTTTTGAATAAAATTCGTGTTTCAATTACTACTGTTGATTTTTTATTCATGTTTATATCATTTTCTTCAATTGATATGCGATACTGGGTGTTTTTTCCTATAAACCTCTTGCTAATAGCCATTTCGCACCTACTTAATGACAGGCTCTATCAAAAGATATTGTTCGTTTCCAAACATTCATTCATTTACTTGCCGTTGATCAGAACGACTATGGCACCTTAGATTGACATTCCCACAAAGCCATTCAGGTTTTTTGATATCCATACATACTTTTCGTTGTTCAGGAACTGAACAAACATCCACACTATATTCACAGCGATTAAGAAATTCCCATATATATGCCTTAAAGCTACCAGCAAACCTATAAAACCTGCAAAAAAAACTACAAATTTGCCATATTTTTCTTTTTTCACGAGTACACATTCTAGGTTATATTTATATTAGACATTATTTGAATACAGCTGATTATTGCATTTCAAGGAGTGACACATGTGTGGGATCTGTCAACTCTTGGTGCCAGTCACAAAACATACTCTGAAAGTTTAATTCCATGCTATTCAATCACAACACGGTGACTTGTGTTGTTGTCAGCGGCCATTTTGTGAGGGTGCGACAGGGTTGCCAGATTGTGCATTAATATGCCGTTTCACCCTCCTGGTCCTAGTGGAGTAAGTTCTGCCAACTGTTGAAATATACTCTACTATGCTTTATAAAACTATTCATGACATTCTTCCCAAAATCATTGCACAACACTTGAAAAAATGCAAATGAAAATTTATAATTATTTCCATGACGCCGCAAAATAGCTCCGTCGGTACCTTGGGTTATACATCTTGACAGTAGGGATGTTCGATAGGATCCTATATTTAGAAGTATCAATACATTTCATCTTTCGATCCGGACCGTGTCAGAAAGAGTGACTGCCATTTGGCTGCGACGTCACCCTGCCAAATCAGACATATCTTTCATCATTTTCAAAGAAATTGCACAAAATCTTTAAATTTGTGAAGTTAGCGAGTTTCACTCCATACGATCTTACCAGACATGCCCAAATCAGTTGCTGTCGTGATATTCATCCCGACCACTGCACCCCCACGGCTAGGCGACCTGTATGTTAAATTTGTATTGATAGGGAAGCGGGTTATGCTATAAATCATATGTCACAGTGTTTGTGCACTGATTGCAACGGTTAGATGATACCAAAAATATTTTCATAAATAGGAGACCTTTCCCATTCCGGATGGGACAATCTACCAAAGATGCTTATAATCATGATACCTAGTAAATTTTCACGAAAAAAATGCAAAACCAGCAAATGTAAAAGATTCATTTCACACCCTCCACCACGGGACGTGATCGTCGTTAGACTTGGCAACCCTCGAGTGACAGATAGATATCCCCGCCATTCAACGACCGCCAGTCAAAAACACAAACAATAAACATTACTAGTTTTGATGATTTTTGGACATTGTTTGTGAAACAGTTTTCATAATTTTTTGTCTATGTCCATAGTAATTGCATTATGCATCAGGGAGATGTAGGGATTGACACGTCTTACACATATTATCTGTGTTTTAGGATGGAGATGACATAATGTTTTTATTGCTTTGAAGAAATTAATTAACCCATAAATTAATAAATGATTACTATTATGACGTAAAGGAAGATGAGGAATTGGATGGAATGTATTTTCTATTTTCTTGCAAAATACAGACAAAACCACACTATTCAACAGGTATGTAATGATAACTTTCAGTATATTGAAGCTGGTAAATTCGAGAGTGCCATGCATTAACAAACGTCCAAATCTGCTGCCATATTTAACAGCTAGAAAATCGACCTATTATTTGCGGCATTCCCATTCGCTGAGGGGTATAACGGATTGTTAAATGTAAACCTTTATGAATGTTGTCCTGTTTTTTCTGTACAAAAGCATCATGTTGGAATCAAAAAGTGGTCTTGTTTATAATACAGTCGAATTTTCACGATTTTATTCAATATTCCAATAGAAATCACTAATATTCAGAGACCTTTGCCAGCTTCTGTCAAATTGCATTTCGATAAAGAATTTTCCCATTGGTCCATAATATCAATGTTGGTGAAATCGGCCCTGAGCAACGTTTCCTGCAGCAAGGTTCCAAAAGAGCTTGATAATGTTCCCGTTTTTTGGGAATGTCCCTTAGGCCCAAACAATTCCAAAAAAGAATTTTGAGAAATACAGGCTGACTGCTATTGTACCTAGCCATTTACAGGAAAGATCGCCTGCAAAGCTTGAGTGGCGCTAATCAATGGACTTATTATTTGTTGTAAGGACCTTGCGCGTTCAAGGAAGGTTGGGCAGAGGGGGCAGACAAGGTTGCTTCCCTATCTGCATCCACATATGACAGGTTGCGCTGTTGCGCTATAACTTGCAAATTCTTTCTTGGAGTGAACTTGCAAGTCGGGCTGCTTGCGGGATGGCCTTATCTACAGTTTGCATACCGGCGCTCTTCCTGTTCTGTGAGGGGGCATAAATGCGTCATGTGGTCCTTTGCACATTCTAGGCATCTGGGTGGTGCAGTGCAGTATGACTGCGCATGCCCGTGCTTTTGACAACAAAGGCCCAATGAGTCTGGAGTTCTTCTGAACCTCAACTTGAATGGCCAGTCCCAGCAGTTCGTGTTTATTGAATACTTGCTGGTACTTTTCACTCTTGGGCAGTATCACGACCACCAAAGGCATGGGCTTGCCGCCACTGCGCCTCAATCGAATTATATGGACAGAGCTATATCGCCTCTGTTCAAGTCCTTCCTTAATCTCAGAATCCGATAAGTTGACCGGAACTCCTCGAACCACCGTGTGGATGTTCCGTTCCGAAGGGAGAGGAAAAGTGTGATGGGGCACTTCTTCCTCTCGGAACAATCGAACCATCTTACGATAGTCTGCCTCAGATTTAGGAATAATCCTTATTCCCGCAACAGCAACCGCGCGATCTATTTTAATGCATAGGGAAATAAATTTGTAGCTTAACGTACGCCACCTCTCCCCATCACGCAGAACAATAGGCGTTACGCGCCTTTGGCGTGAAGGTTGGCATGAAATGGCTAAGAAGACGTGACGTTGGCAGACGGAGTGACCTGAGAGGTAGATAATGTAGTCCATCCGCCAACCGACGACAAAGATTTGGTAGTAGACATAGTGTTACTGATATTTTGCTTTGATGAAGTGGGGGAGGTGTGTAAAAGAGTGGATTCGGTATTTGGAAGGGGTGGAAAGTCCTCGGCTCGTCGGTCAGTCTTGTTGCTCCTCCTCCTTCTAGATTTTGCGTTTATAAATTCGTCGGTCGGTGTGTCATCTTCTGTGGATGTATATTGATCGTCGGTAATGGTCCGTAGCGGTTTATTTAGGCTGTTGGTCCGTTCTTTGGGGGATTCTTTCGAACTCACTAAAACAGTTACCTGGGCGGTCAGGCTGTCAATTTTAGCCGTCTGGTCCTTGATTGTTTGCATGAGTTCTCGGATTTGCCTCGCCGAGTTGTCTATAATCATCATCAGTTTCTCGTTGACTCTCTGCTCCGATGAGATCTGCGTCAATGGGCCCTTTTTTCTAAGTTTTTGAACGGAATTCGCCGCAGCTCAGCGTCAAAATATGTCAGTTTTCTCTGTATTTCTTAAATATGATTTTTTCTCTAGCTTGCAATTATAACTTCTACATCTTGTACCTTGGTCAGGGGCATTTTAGGAGCCAGGCTACGGACGCCCGTGTATTTGAATGTACTCAATATCCCTATTGTTTAATCACCCTGTATGATCGAAATATCCGTCTTTTCATGGTAGTTATTGCATTAGTTCTTGTTCCCGTCAGTGATGTTAATTAAGTTAGTCAAATTGATCCGACTGCTGACAAATTAGCCAGACATGGTTTATTTAAAAAAAAGTCTTATTGAAATAAATATAGCACGGCATAAATAAATCTGGTCTGAAATTCTATTTTCTAAATGCACCAAGTCCCCCAGTTATTTAAAGGCAAAAGCGCTTAATTACATTATTTTCTACTCTTCCAGGCCCATAACCATTATAGCCTGTTGGGGGAGGGCACCATGGAACAGCAAATCACCTGACGTGAGTCTCTTCTAATGACTGGATGAGTTTATCCATAATTACTGTTTGACGTAGGACCGTATAAACAGTTGTTCCTACAATAATATTGTAAGGCTGTGGTATCTCTAGGTTTTTACTGTTCCGTGTCAGCATCAATGGTCTCCTGTTGTAGGGTTATGTTTTTTTTGAATCTTAAGACATTTCAGGCTGATAAAATAGATGATAAAAATCAAGTTTATCAAGAAGAAATTCCTTGGAATTAAAAAAGAAAACAACCGCAAAATAGAACGCTTATACGGAACAGTAGAAATCTAGAAATACCCCTGCCTTTGTGAAGGCCATACTGGCGTCCTACGACTGACGATACGGCCCTATATAATGCGTATTTCTAACCTGTGTTCACTCTACTAGATTGAATTCTGTTCCTTTTGTACAACAGATAATCAATGGCCAGTAGCTCTGGCAAGGGGGAAAGGTGGGGTGGGAAAAGGGAAGGGGACGACTAGCAAATCTGAAATTATGATCAGCAGCAGCAGCAGCATTCAGCGGAGCCGGCACTGCAAACTTTACACTCCGTTTATTTATTATAGTTGCAGGCTGTAATTACAACAGGACAATGCAGAGTACGTTATAAATTCATTGTTATTTACACTAATGCATTCTACCAATTGAAATGGTGGGTGTGTACTGCCCCTATATAAATTTCGTTTCACTGTTAGTTGATAATCGATTGTTTATCTATGGTAGCTGAATAAAAAGCACTTAAGGGACTATAGCTATGGACTGTTGGCCGATAGCATGATTCATCACGCTGGTTTCGAAGGAAAGCTATGAAACATAAAATCCACGTAAATAGTCACTTTAGATTTTCAGAAACCATGTTGCATACACATGAGGAAAGCACTCAGGTGCAATATATATAAATTCTGCAGCATTTTTCTCAACAATATTATTGATCATTCAATTCAGTTCAATTTATTATCGATAGACAGACATCACTGTATAGGAATTATCAATACCATAAATCCTAAGACTAAACGATAAAGGTGATTAATAAAGTTTCCTGAAACTACAAACTCTGACAAAATCAGTTCTCCAGTATATAACTTTTGAGTTCGTCCGATAGACGAAATTTTTAGTCCCATTATCATGGGGAATTTGCAGTTATAGTCAAATCTGACAAATGGAGCTAGAAATAAATTTTTGTGTCTTGTATTTATATCGTGTATAGTAAATACTAGTAGTAGTAAGTAACGGAAAGCTGTTTTCATTCAAAAACATATACACATAACTCTAAAATATATAGGCACGCAAGAGGTAAAACTTTTAAAATGTTAAATCTAAACAATGTCAGTGTTAGGGATACCAGCATACCTCAAACAGTCTTTTTCTGTACAGTGAACACATCCAAAGCATAGGTAAAACTAACTGTTTTGTGTTTTGCTGCTGATGAACAGTGGCTTATGAAGGAAACACCCGCTCAAAGGAATGCGTGTTTATTTCTCGAAGATTGTACAAGTGACGTCTCTGTCATTAATATCAATGGCCGTCATATCGGCCTAGCTGTCTCGTCGCGCATGCGCTTGATGTGGAAACAAGTATTAATACACACATGGAGGAAAGTTTTGAGGCGTCAACACTACCCTATAAGCAAATTCCATGACCGAGTTGTGATTCAACCTGGGCGTAATAAACTGTTTTTTTGAGGTGAGTTTACTACTGTACGTAGGTCTGTAAACATGCAAATAAGCGAACTTAATCCGATTGTTAACTTTTCCTACTGAACCTTTCTTGATAACGTGTCCTCAACGTACAGACAGACCCGAAAATGTAACTGAATTGCACATGTTCGTTTGAAATGTTGTGCTGTCAACCATGATTGGTCAATTACCAATATGATCTTGAAAGCTATGGAATGTAGGCATTTTGGTTTCTCTAAATTCGTATAGATCTAAATCATATAAATCTACATCATGTACGGCAGTATTATAACATTGAAACAAATTGTTACTACCCAAATCGCTTATAGTTAATGATATATCATCAGCATATATAAAATGTTTTTTCTTATGTGACTTAGATTATTTAAGTACTGTAGCCGACCAAGTTATCAATTTCTAAATTCGTTGAAATAATTCGTCACGCCGCCTACCCTTGTAAAGATTCGTCGCATCCATAAAATAGAAATAAACATAAAAACTGAGGGCAGAACAAACACTCGCATCTGCAAACCACCCAGTGAACGCGAAGGAAACCAAATTCATATTTCGAAGAAAATAGGTAATAGAACCGGATGCTATAAAGTTGGGCTCTTCAAATATGCCGGGACAAAAACATGGTTTTGAGATCTATTCTGTAATAGCATTTGGTTGCTATAACTATAAAGTTTACAAGCAAAGGAGTGCTGAGAAACTTGAAACTCAACCATTTGGTTAGCAGATGTTAGAAGCTACCCCGGGTGTTGAACGGTCAAGCATCAGAGGCGTATCATGGGATATCTAAGACTTCCGAAGGCTAGCATATTACTAATATTTATCATGAAATGAGGGAAAATATGAAAAAGAGGAGACAAACAGCTAGGTTTTTAGTAGAATTTTGCCCTAGCTAATAGAAGTAGGTGCGCCAGGCTGGATACGATTCTACCTTCTGTCAACGGACGCGTTGACAGATGCGGTTTGGAAACTATCATTAGAGAGGGGCAGGTGAAACTAACGAAAGACTGCGTAGTTCCAACGAAGCTAACTATGCTAAAATACATTAAAAATTCCAGAAGAGAGTCACCGTTAGTTTACCTAAATGCTACGTATAATTTTATAATTATTTAAGAGGACATCTCGAATTGTGGCCTCAGCATTACAGGAATTCACAATCCATCGAGATTATTCAAAACTTCAGGATTTGACCCAAAGCGATTAAAGCCACGAGACGCCACTGAAGGGGGCATGTTGCGTAAACTTAAGGGAAGACTGTACGCTGACGATACTCCTGGAGGTGGGACAAGGGAACTTAATTAACCAATAGAGGTTAAGGCCATTTTGAGTTCAAAAATTAAGTCTAACAATCATTGGTCAGGTTAGTTCCCATCTTTAGAGAATCAAACGCCCATTGCAAGGGTTGTAAACTGATCGACCGATGAGGAGACAGGGGCTGAACTCACTAAGTCAAAATGACCAGCCTTCTGATGGAGGGGAAAATCCGCAACTGACCTCCGATAATTTTGAAACTAAAAACTTCAGTTCTTCTCTTACCTTTGATTTGTACGGTTGGAAGGGTTGCTTCGATTTTCCCTCAGTTAGTGGCTGTTAATAATAGTTGCGTTGGTAGAATTTGTGTTAAGTTGTGTTGTCATCAGTAAGCACTTGCAGTTACTTACAAGGGAGCTTTTCCCTTCTTTATTAGCACTTCTGACAAAAGCTAGATTAACACTGACAAACCAACAAAAAATAGTCGCATGGCGTGAGGTCGGGTGACCTAGGAGGCGAAACATACCTGCCGTTTTGAGTCAACCAAGGATTCTATGCATTAGCTTGATTAATTAGCATTGTAAGGTTGAGATTCTTGAGTTTAATTTTGCTATTAGGTTCAACTTAGATTTATTGTAAATTAGTTGTCACCGTTCCTTTTAACTTGGTCGTAATTCACTCCTCTAGTGATCCTTTCCCCAGTCTATTAGTTTTACAGCGTTAACTGTTCTTTGTCATTGCTACTTCACTCTTCGCGGGTGTATAGATATTTCGAGTCTGTAATTCACTCATTAATAAAAATTAGTTTCCTCTAACTTGAGTTACACTAATTTCATTAACCGAAGCTAACTGAGTTCGACGGTTCTGA